GCAATGGTATATTATAGAATAAAATATGTCCTCATCAAATTAAAAAGCAAAAATGAAAGACAATGACAAGTGGCTTAATTTGCAAAAGAAATTTAAAAAGAGTATGGTATATTGAATATTTTACTGAAGTAAATGTCTTTTCTAACTCTAGATAAATTTTATAAATTTATTCTGATATTTGATACAGAGACACTAGAAGATCCATGGTAACTCTAAATCATGTGAATGCCCTTAAAAAGTGACAACAGATCTACAAAAATAAAACAAATAAGATTTTCTAATTTAGATTTGTTACAACTACCTTCTTTTGAGCAAATCAAAACAGTGAAATCTCTACGAAGTTATTTTAATAAAATTCTGCCTAATCTCTGTTCATTTGAACACATAAATAGCTTCAGAGTTTGGCCTATATTTCCAGGAGATGCATATTATGGTTAACACAGCCAAAATGATTATTGCACATAAATTGGCTACTATAATTTAGAGTTATTTGTATGAGAGAGAAGTGCATTACAAGATTTTGGAGAAAAGAAAGATTAAGACAACCTATACTTTAGCAACTGAATAAAGGGCAAAACACGTTAACATATAACACTGCTACCTTTACTTTGAGATATATTCATTCAACTTCTAGTAGCAAGGTTTTGAATGACTTCAGCATTCATAGAAAAGGGGAGGTGTATGCAGGGAAAAGATAAAGCAGAGGGTGAAAACAGAATGGCAAGGAGAGAAAGAAAAAGAAGGAAAGGATAGTATAAGGGGAGAGAAAAGAAACAACAGTCTTCACACAGAATAGTAATCTATTTAAAATAATCTTTAACATGAGAAAAAGAAAAAATTGAAACAAAGTCTTTGCAGATAGGGCGGGGTTGAGGAGTTGACATGAGGGCAGGCGAAGGGAAAAAATAGGAACCAAAATGGATTATGTAAAGATGCAAATTTCAAATGATGAATGTCATTATATTGTATATTTTAAATGTACCAATAAAATTGATAAAAAATAAAATAATAACTTTTATTTCTCATATATTACGGCCACCCCCCAAAAAGTGTTCCAGAGCCTGAATTCTATTCCAAAACATTTTTTTCTGTTGTGAGATTTTAACTTCAAATAAGAAATTGACTTTGATATCTTCCCAGCTTATAAATTAAATGACAAATAAATCACTTATATCGTGGGAGATACAAAGATAAGACATTGTTTTCTGTCTAAAGGAAATTATCTTTTCTGCTGAGAAATTTAATAAACCATAAAGTTTCATAAGATGCTTCAATTCTTAAACATTGAAACACAACATAATCAATTTTGTTTATTAAGTTAATGAAACCACACAAATGAAACACACACTGAATTATTTCCTGAGTAATATCATGTTTTATTTTACCATGTAATAGTCACTTGTGAATACAGGATGCTTGACTAGATTAAGTTATAGAACTGGCTTCTTGAAATGCAAAAATGAACATCTTATGGTAGTGTATGTTTCAAGTATTCATTTTTTACTTAATGAATATCTTAGTATTTAATTTCTGATAAGGTTTGAATGTTTAGTACAAGCAAATTACTACTTATTTTCCAACATAAAATCTTGAATATTCATAGTGGATAGTATGAATAATTTATCATAAAATCTTGTAAATATGAACTTTAAAATAACATGCTAACATGAATTTCTCATAAATAATTATTTCCTCATTATAATCTAGGTATAAGGTAGACAGTAGATAGTCATTAAATCTAACAATATGCAATCCAGTTCCATGTTATTTCATTAAGGGTTCATATCTCTAGTATATTATAGTTGCAGATGTGATTAAGGTTAAATTTTTCTAGATGGGGATATACTTCTGGATTGTGTGTTGAGCACAATTTGCACATGAATGATTACACAAAGAAAAACACTTTTTAGATGTGGTCAAAGACAGATTTGAGGAAGAAGGCGAGAACAATGCTAATTTGTTGCTTTGAGAACAGAGGAGGAGACCATGAGGTGAGGCAAATGTGTGGCCACCAGCAGCTGAGAAGAAAGGAAATGGATTCTCCCCTATAGGCTCTTGAAAAGAACATAGTACTACTGCCACTATAATTTCAGTCCCCTGAGATGTGTTCAACTTCTAACCTTAAAAACTGCAATATATGTGCGTTGTTTTTAATCAATAATTTGTGATAACCTTTTATAGCATCAATAGTAAAACAATATACATATAAGTATCATTCATTATTCCATATTGATACTAACACTGTCGATGACATATATGAAGACTGATTTTTTACTTGGTTGGTTCATACATAATTTAATTTTGGCATATTCATGATTGAATTAATTTAAATCTATAATAATTTCATTCTCCTAAAGTAAATTCTTGGGTATTTACTTTTTTGGCAGCCATATTTTAAAATGGTATCCAAAGAAAAACTGGAGGTTGTTACTGCCAGAACTTTTAGGTAAGTGGTCTATTTCTTCCTTACCTCATCCTGTAAAATCTAATTTCAAGAAGTAACTGAGGTCAACTGTGTTGAAAGAGGCTTATTTCAGCTAATCACTGATATAAGTATGTTTCTAAGGACAGAAATCTTATAGGAAAGTTGGAAAGGAGGCAACTGCTGACCTCACTATGACGGTAAGGAAGCTGTGGGAAGATGAAAAACATCTGTGTTTCATAAAGCCCTTGAATGAAAGAATCAATGTCTCTTCATCGGACATCCTAGGCTCTTAAAGATGCATCTTTAAAAGACAAATATATGTACTCTTATTTAACTTAGTATTTAGTTTATTTTCTTATTCTGAATTAAAAGAAATTTTCCTTAATATAGATTTCAAGCTAGATGTAGACAATTTGCTAGTTTGTTTTAAAGTATACACTTTTCTTCAGAAATAGTAACAATATAAACTTACAAGACAAGAAAAAAGACAAATGGGTTATATTTTAAAAGTTCAGGCAAAAGCAAACCAATAAAAAATCTCAGAGAAATCCCAAGTTTATATATAATATGGAGATATTCTTTGAAGAATGCCAATGTAGGAAACATAAACTTATGTACATTTTTATCTGCGTATCCTAAATGATTTTTTCATTAAGTTTATTGGTACATTTTAATATACAATATGATGAAATTCATTATTGGGAATTTGTACTTTACATAATTTATCTTGGTTCTTTTTTTTTTCTCTATTCCCCTACCATCTTTATTTACAAAAATTTTGTTTCTGTTTTGTCCTTTTCTCATATTCACTAGAGCAATGCAGAATGCTCTATAAAATCCCTAAATTTTGTAATTGTCACTTTTAAAATGGCTTTCATAAGATATTGAATGAAAGATATCATAATGGTACTAGAAAGAACCATGAACATTTTTAGAAAATCATTAAAACGGAGTATGATTGGTTAATGCAGCATTCTTACTTTGGGTCATCTTGTCTCTTTCTTTGAAAAATAGGTTGCATGTCAATGGTGGCAAACTGCACAGAAGACAGTTCAAAAAGAGAGAAGAACCTGATCTAAGGTTCCAGAACTCTTTTAAAATAAATACATTGCTTCAGGTTGGACTTGTTAGCATTAAAATATTAAATCTTCTAATCAATGTCTTGCTTTTAATTCTTTTTGCTAAAGTTAAACTGCCACTGTGCTTCTCAGAATTAAACACTAAGGATATTCTTGATAATTTTAAACCAGGGAAACTGAGGATCAGTTATACCATTTGGTTATCTTGATAACACCTCTTCAGTTTCTGAATAATCTTCAAGCTATAGTTCATTGAAAATTTCAGTTTCGGTTTGTTAGTCTGAATCTGGAAAATTGTGTTAATTCATTTTTTCAAAGGTTTGCCAGCCATCAGAATGCTCTGGCGTGGAGCCTGGAACAGCGCTGCCACCATGGCCGGCCGTACCCTGCGGGCTGAGACCGGGAGCCCGGCCAAGGACGACGCCAATAAGGTGATGGCACCCATCGAGAAGGACCGGCGATGGTGCGGGGGCTGGGCAGGTGCTGGGCCGAGATCCCGGGGCCGAGAACGGTGGAGCAGCCGCCCCAGGCCCTGAGTAGGTGGCCCCTCATCTTGCTAGATCTCAGCGGTGAGAACAGCAACCAGTTTCCATTCCGAAGGCTCCCTGCAGAAGGGTACGGAGCCTAGCCCCGGGGGCATGCCCTAGCCCAGCTGCTGCGTGTCACATGCTGGACCCCCAGAAGGGGTCACCGAGGAGGCCCAGCCCCCAGCACTGGGCCGAGAGCGAACCCGCGGTCACACCTGCAGGCGGGGCGGGGAATGAAACCCCCCAGTGCTGACCGAGGAGCAGCCAGTTCCAGAATTGCTGGAAGCTGAGGATTCAGGAGTAAGAACGACAAGGAGAGCACTCCAAGAGAAAGGCCTCAGGACAGAGCTGATCAGGAGGCTTCTGCCCAGGAGGGGCTTACGGATAAATGCCGGGCAGAGTCCTGCGGTGCCTGACGTCAGAGCTCCAGTTGGGGAGGGAATGAAGCAAGGCCCCGGGGGCACCCAAGGCAGTCCCCCAACGGAAGGGGAGCCAGCTTCCCCGCAAGGCCAGGCCCTGAAGCCTCTCGGGTTCCCACCGGACACCCTCGCCGGAGCGGAGCCTGCAGGAGCTGCCCTGCCCCTTAGCTCCGCCCTTCCGGCCTGCGCCTGCGCCTCCAGGTGTGGAAGCGGGCGGGCAGAACTGGGACACACCGGGCGCCGGAGGACGTTTCCTTGAGTGCAGAGTTGGGTGGACACGGTGGCCTTGCCCACCTTCTCAGAACCAGCGCCACCACCCGCCAAACGTCCCCAAATAGGTGCGACGGGCGACCGCACCTGGGACTAAGGCGGAGCCAAATCAGCTGGAGACGCAGCGCCACACCGACGCTGAGCGCGGGCAGCGCAATGGGTGGGCCCCGCGCGCAGCCACACCACGTGATGCGACG